ATGACTTGAACTGTGATGCTGAACTTTTGCACCACATACGGACTGAACCAGGACTAAACCAGACCGGAACCAGACCATGATTGAGACCGGGACTGAGCCCGGGATCAGACCGGGACTAAGACCAAGACCAGACCAGGATCAGACCGTGATTGAGACCGGGACTGAGACCAGACCGGGACTAAGACCAGGACCAGACCATGATTGAGACCGAGACTGAGACCGGGACCAGACCGGGACTAAGACGAGGACCAGACCAGGACCAGACCGTGACTGAGACCGAGACGGAGACCGGGACTAGACCGGGACTGACAACAGGGCCAGACTGGGACCAAACCGGGATTGAGACCAGGACCAGACCAGACCAGAACTGAGACCAGGATCAGACCGGGCCCAGACCAGGACTTAGGCCGGGACTAAGACCGGGACCAGACAGGGACCAGACCTGGACCAGACCAGGACTGAAAACAGTTTAGTCCTGGTCCAGTCCATATGTGGCAGTTTAAGTCACAAAAACGTTTCCATTATTCACATTTAAACACAAAATCGAAATCGAAACCTGAAAAAAAAGGAATCGTTATCCGTTTTTTTTCATTTTGATTTCGGAGACAAATAATGAAGAAAAAATAGCTGTTTTTTTCATTTTCTTATTTTTGGTTTTATATTGAAAAACGAATGAACGAATCACACACGGATTCATCAGCTGCCAAGTATCCATTGCCTTCAGAAACACACTACACATTTACATTAGCAGCATGTCCCTAAACTCTAAATAGTCCATTGTGTTGGTTGGGGTCCTGCTAATGTCCCACAGGTGAATTAAAGCTCCATTTTCCTCCTGAGTGCTCCTGACACGCCTCACCTGACCCCCTGTGTGAGCTGATAGGGTTCAACAGTTCACCGCGAAACACCAGAGCACCATCTGCGCTCCGAGTTCAGCTCTGTTTAACACCACGCGATTGGCCATTTCAGAGCGGTAACAGCCTCTCAGCCAATCGGGAGGAGTTTTGACCGGGACAGAGACGCGCCCGTCAGACAGCGGCATGTTTACGCGGAGATGAGAAGTTCAAAAGACGACAGGTTGAAATCCAATATGGCTCATTTGTTTTGATACTGTCGGCGCTGTCTGACAGGTGGCCCCTGATCACATAGAGTTTGGAGATACATCTTGCCTTCGCTACTTAACAGCTGGTGATGGTATTATTTACCTGGCATATGTGAGGGAATAAACTAGGGCAGGTGGTGATGGAGCGCTTCACCTACTACACAGGAAAAAAAAAAAAGGGGGGGTGGGTCTCAACATTAAAGGTGCTATATTACACAAAATTGACTCTGAATGTTGTTACCTCATCAAAAACATACCTGGAGCATGTCTGAGTAACCTTTTTAACCCTATTATTAGTCTGTCTACATCTCCAAAGCTCAAAATGCACTATTCCAACTTGTGATGTCATGTAGTGGTAGTTTTCAAGTTAACAGCTACCTTTTACCTTTAGTTCAGTTTATTTTAGATGGACAATTCAAGGCTCCTCCATGAACCGCTACCTTAACACGGTGGAGGGGTTTGAGTGCCCGAATGATCCCAGGAGCTATGTTGTCGGAGGCTTCATGCCCCCGGTAGGGACAGCCAAGGCAAATGTCTCCTGCGGGATGAGTCAGAGGCCAGTTACGTTACCCGTATTGGTGAAACTGACCGACCTTTGAGCCCGGCCTGGGATGGGTGCTCGACATCAAGCGCTTGGTGGATAGGCCTTCCTCCACAGCCCAAAGGAACGACGTCGGGCTGCTCCCGTGGACCCACCACCTGCGGGAGGATCCATAAGGGGCCGGTGCAGGGAGGTCTGGGCGGCAGTTGAAGGTGGGGGCCTCAGCGACCAGATCTCTGGACATGGAGACTAGTTCAGGGGACATGGAATCTCACCTTGATGTGTTCCGGGCATGTCCCAACGGAAGGAGGGACTATGTCTCTCAGCTGACTTGGGAATGCCTTTGTGTCCCCCCCGAAGGAGCTGGAAGAAGTGTCCAGGGTGAAGGAAGTCTGGGAGTCCCTGATTAGACTGCTGCCCCCTCGACCAGGCCCCGGATAAGGAGAATAAAAAGAATGTATGAACAATTCAAGGACCCATATTACACCATTTTCTGATCTATGTTACAATGTTGTTTTCACATTAATACAACATACCTGGAGTTTTATTTAGTTTCATTCACACATGTTTAACACAAATACC